TTTTATTTTTTAATTTAAAATTTGTGCTGTTCTAAGCAAAATTTAATTAGAATACGCACATTTAATTTGCTTAAAACAATTTTTAAATTAAAATATAAGAAAGCCTTTTTTGGAATAATTCACATGTTAACAAAATAATGATTATTCATACAAAATAAGGTACATCAAATTAAACATTTACATATACAATTTTCTTTTACTGTACATGATGGGTCGTTTATGTGTGGATTAATTTTCATAATATTGGCAAATATACAAAAATCATGAATAGATTCTTACATATATTTTAACAACTTTAAAAAATATTTATGAAATTGTATATTTAAAAAGAAGAAAAAGATAGAAAGATTCATTTAACCTGCAGGTGGAGTATTTCGAAGAAAAGAAACAAAATACGAATGACTCATCGTGAATACTGTAAGGGTAAAATTATATTATAATAAAAAAATAGTATTGTTTGTAATCTGCATTATATACTTATATTTAATTTGTGAGATATAACACAGAAAAAAATTTATTTTAAGAAATTAAATATACTGTGAAGATTGTATCATATAATCTTCTTTTCCACAAGGATATTTAATGGCGTAAAATATCACGTGATCTCATCACCACATGCTATACATGGATTTAGTCCATACGTGTGAACTAGGAATACGATAAAAAAAAGGCGTCGTGATTGTGTGATTTAGATAGCCAATTAGACCGTTAATATTTCATCTCTGTTTTCTAGAGCTATTGTCACGACTAACTTTTTGCGTAGTTAGAAATAAAGTAATGATAAAAGTAACTACTGAAGTCGTTACCGTTACCCTAAAAATGTAATTGCGTTACCATCAATGTTACTCAGAAGAAAACGTATCGTCGTTATCCATTCGTTACCGAAAAAAGTAACTTGTAACGGTAACGACGTTACAAATAACGCGTAACTTGCCAATCCTAATTATAATAAATGTTGAGCTATCAAATGTATGTGGTATACATTTATGTGGTATACAAGAGCCTTTGAATGATTCGCTATATTCAAATAGGCTTATATTGTTAAATTTTCAGGCCATTAATATTGTTACGTCCGAGAGGACTCCACGATTTCCTCGTTTCGAGATTACTTAATAGGGTGATCGTTGAGACAGGATGTAAGAAGGAACGCGAGAGTTAACGGTCACCGATCGGCGAGCGTGACAATATGTAGAAAATATGTCGTTGAAAGCCTTTCCAACGATTTTGGAAAGCTAATAAAAATATAGATACCCAGGATCACCCGATAGTAGCAGTAATAAAATTTATAACAAATTACAGACCATACCGAGAATGTTAGTTTTGAAACACGTTCAGTTTAAATAAGAAATATCTAAAAACGGATCGGGAGAATCCTGGGTAAATAGAAAATCGCATTCCCAA